TTTAAGCTGGGGGGGAATTGCTAATATTTTGGAAAATACTCAAGTTTCAGAAGGATGATAATAGATTTGAGCATCGGACTCTATCCAACAAGATGTAAGGCTGGAAAAACCACATGCACAGGAACAGAGTAGAGAGTGCCTGGTTCAAAAGTAGTGCCTGTGAAAAGGGTCTTGTTGACCACCCTCTAAATATTCGTTAGCAGTGTGGTGCAGCTGTCAAAAAGTGAACGTGGTTCTAGGCTGCATCAACAGAAAAATAGCATCAAGTTCGCAGGAAGTGATAGTACTACTCTGTACTGCACTAGTGAGGCCACAGTTGGATGTTGAGATATTAGAAAGAGAGCAGAGAAGAGCACAGGGAAGGGGAGATTGTCTTAGTCTCCATAGCATCTGAGGCGAGATAGATGCTCATCAGAGGAGAGAGATGGAGAGGGAGACAGAACCTGGAAATAATGAGGAATTTCCTTGTGGTGAGAATGATTATGGATGCTCCATCCTTCGAGGTCTTCAAGAAAATACTGGCCAATCATTTGTCTGGGATAATATAAGGATTCCTGCTTTGGGAAGGGGTGGGTTATGAATTGTGTGTGTTCACATTTGCATGTGCAGGAGGTGGGGCATGCGGGGTGTGTGCCACATGCACATTGCATTATGACAGAATGAAAAAAATGTTAGCCATCTCTGGAATAGGCCAATAGTTAAATACATTATATGGAATACTTATTCCGATTTATCTGAGGACCTCTTCTGTACCTGAGGTCTTAACAATTAAAATCCAACAAACACAATTTAATTATTGTAAATGATACTAACATAACTTGCAGTTTATAGCACATCTTACTAGATCTAAGAAAGAGACTATATGCTGAAAACATCTTGCATATATATATATATATATATATACATATACATATACATATACATATACATATACATATACATATACATATACATATACATATACATATGTAGGTCTCTAGTTGTTCGGGTTTTCTCCCGCGTAGAATTGGAGATGTCTTGGCGACGTTTCGACGAAGTCTCATTCGTCATCTTCAGGCTGCTTCAGACTACTTCAGGTTTGGTGTTTCCAGGTAAGTTACACTACATATATATAAAATGTTTATAAGATGATGATTTTTAGGTTCTGATTAGGCTCTCAAAGTGTATTTATTTTCTGCAATCAGGACATTGGGGCTAAGAGTTTATGAACAGTACAGAGACCTGACTTACTCCCAGTGCTGGATCATTTACTGATGTGCCCTTTGCATAAGAGACTGGATCAACTAAGTGGCCAAATCCCAAAGGATAAAGAGTATCTTGGCCAGGGTTCTGAGCCCTAGGCTACCTGACCAACAATGAGTCCTGGCAAGTGCCTAGATAATCCTCATTTGGTTCTTTGCGATTTTCCACTATAGCATACTCTCTTTCTGCTTAGTAAGTTCATGCAGACATAAACAAAACAGATTTAATAAGTGCCATTCGTCTGCTAACTTGATCAGAAGACAAAATAATATGCTAACTGAGGAAAAGGAGATGACTATTGTGAAATGAAGTTGAAAGATATATCACTTTATAGCTAGTTTACGAAAAGCTTGCCAAATTGTTGATATTGTGAGTCCGGGCCTGATATTTCTTTCTTTAAGTATTTAGATTTATAGACTATTCCATTCCAAAAACTGGGCAGTTTACATCAGACCAGTGTAGAATAAAATTAAAACAATAAAAATGACATAATAACCAGTAACAGCTGGACTCATGCACCACTATTTGAAGGTAGTAAAGCCTTTACTTATCCCTAATGCTCTCCTGAAAGCCATAGCTTCACAGCTGTTTGGAAACACAATGAAGGGAAAGTGGTCAAAATATCTGGGCTATTATACTGTCTTCTATGCATTGGTGCATTATAGTTGTGCGAATCAACATGCACTGTCATCAACCAGTCATAGTCTGGTGATACATTCCAAAGAGTGAGACAATTATGTTTTCTAAATGGACTGGGAGGAGGCATAAGGAACCAAAAAATAGCCCCATTGTCAGAGGAATATCTCAAGGGTGAGTTCAACTGATGTCTGATTAACCCTCCCCCATTTTTCTGTTTTATGATTATGAGGATACTGTGCTTATGTGTTAAGTCTGGAGACACTGCTTCTCACATAAAGCATTCATTTCTCCAAGTTAGGTAGCATTGATTGCATTCTTAAAAGACAGGATGCTGTAGTTGAATTCTGGGTCAGCCTTGCCTCGCTCTCTTCTTCATAGCAGTGCTATGTGTCTATAAACAGCACCAAAGATTTTGAGGACTCAGTGCAGAAATCTTTTCTATTAATTATTGTGGCCTCTGGCTTATTAAAAAGTTCTATTGCAGAAGAAGTGGGGAAACAGATGGGCAAGAGTGTTCCACTGTTGTCTATTCTTTTATCAGTGACAATTGTTTTCTGGTTGACCACTTGCACTGTAAATCAGAGATGATTTATATCATCATCATCATCATCATCATCAAATTCTTTGGGTGATTTAGAACAGATTATCCTGAGTTTCTAGCTCTTCAAGGTTAGAGCATTATTCTGTAAGATGTACCATTTCTATTTGGCTTTGAAGCTAATTATGGAAAACTTTTTTTCAAGTCAAAAAGCAAATTAAGGAATAGAAATAATAAGCATTCCAAGTTATGAACAAGAAACTTGATCATATTTATGTTCTTGGATAGGATGGACAATGAAGGGTTTGAATATCTTTTGAGAAAATGTTTTGCACCTGGTTCTTACTCTTGCTGGAGTACCTTAAGGCTGTAATAATAATAATAAAAAAGATTTTGCAAGTCTGAAGGTGGTGTTGGAAGAAATATCCAGCTCCAGTTTGAAGCTGGGAGAAAGGCACTGGAGACAAAATGGAGGCTGATTGGAAAGATGGTCCATTTATTGTTGAAGAAGCAGCACATGGGTGGTTCTGGGCAGATGACAACATGGAGTTGAGAGTTGGGGGTATTTATACCTTCTCTTGGGCTTTGCACTTGAACTTATAGTGTTCCTGTGCAAGAACATATATTCTATTGGCTGTTGTCAGACTCCCATAGTGCCATGTACAATTCCTAGGAGTTTGAGCTAGGTTTGATTAAAGTTGGCTGATGCAATGAAGAGGCTTGTTGGGCAATTCCTATTGTGGCTGAGGGCTAACCCTACCTTTGTTCAGACCTTGCTTAAGGGAATTTGCTTATGAATAGAGCTAGCTCTTTCTTTCTGCTGTGGGCTATTATGCTGACATCTATGTGGGCTATTAAGAAAGGTGGGTGCTGCTTCCTGCCTCTTAAAAAAACCCATGTTTCTCCATTTCTCATCCAGGGAAATATAATATTCTGCCTTCTTAATATTTCTCAAAATATTTCATTCTGCTAGGAGAGGGGTGGTTGCTAACTTTCTACAATGTCGCTATAACTTCTTTGCTGATGGGGCAGTCCTAAATAAATATGGAAAAAATGCCTCCCTTCTGCAACTTTTCATTATTTTGAAAGTCAGTTCCAAAGGTACTTGGCTTTATAACAGTAAAATCCAAGCTCCATGTCTCTTCTGAAAGTAGCTAAACTTTACAGTAAGATTCATATTCTTATAATAGCTGGGTTGAGACATGATACACCACTGAATGTTGGGATTCTGAAAATGTGATAATGTTCAAATTAGAATATTATTTCCTCTGGATGACTTCAAAAACAGCTCAAATGACACCTCAGTGCAGCTCCTCTTCATTTGCTTTGCTTTCTTCACAAAACACATCCAGGCCATTTACTTCTGGGCAAAACCTCAGAAATCTCTAGTGTGCTCAAATCTGAGCTTGCTTGATGATACCAAAAGCAGATTCCAAGGGAAACTGCTAATTAGCTGCTCTTGAACAATCGATGAGTTGCTAATTGCTACTTATCTTTGGGTAAAATGTAGAAAGCTTTTTGCAATGCTTTTTGCAAGGGCACAGGAAGTATGCCACACCATGGGATGAGTTTTCAGCCTGCTGTACTTGCAGATTTTAACTTTCTCATCACAAGGAAAAAATAAAAGTATCAGGACCAAGAAATAGCTCATATTGCTACCTACACAGAACTTGTGGGGTGAATGTTGCCCCAACTGAAAAGAGAAAAACCACCAAATAATTCTACTACAGCCATCTTTCAGAATTTAAGTGGGGCACAAATTACAATAGTCAGACCTTGACAATGGTATAAACTATGGTATGCTGGAAAGAGGGTATCTCTGAGGTTCTGTAGATGGTTGTGCTATTAAATTTTCACATATATTTTTTCTGACGTTTCTGAGCATGTCTATAACTTTCAGGCATGCTTTCGTTGGAAGAAATGTCCATCTGGGTTCACTTCCAAGTGGGGGAGCAAGACACTGGAAACATGGAAACTTCTTGGAAATGTGGTTTAATGGTGGACAGGACTGCATAGTTTGAGATGCTGGGCAAAAGAAGAAGCACATGGGTACGAGTGAGATTTATACCCTCTCTTGGGCACCACCTTGGAGCTTCCTGTTCCTGTGTAATAAATGTATACTGATTGGTTGTCGGACTCCCATAGGGCCATGCAGGGATAACTTTGTAGTGTCTTGAGTCCCAAGCTTGGTTGAATCTTGCTGGGTGATGTAATCTCCCCAGGTGCAATGTGGTGAGTTCTGTTGTTAGATGGGTAGAGGGCTAATCCTACTTTTGTTGGATCTTGGGTGAAGGCATTTGCTTATGAATAGACCTAGCTATCTCTTTATCTCTTAAGTGCTGACATTGCTGTAGGCGATTGAAGAGGTTGGGGGCTATTAAGAGTGAGCTTGCTTCCTGCCTAAAAACATGTTTCTCCATTTCTCATCCAGGGAAATATAATATTCTGCCTTTTTAATATTTGCTAGAATATGTCATTCTTCCAGGAGAGGGATGGGTGCTAACTTCCTAAACTTTTTTTTTTTTTTTTGCAGAGTGGTGGGATGGTAGGGGCAGAATCGGACAACTCGCTGCAGCTGGGCTGACTTGCCAAGGGAAATCTCACATGGAAGAGAGGGACAAGTGAATTGCAGTGGGCCTTGTCTTGCTTTAGGTTTGAATGTTCTCAAGTTAGAAGTCTTCAAGGCTGGGATGAACCAGAGTCTGGAGTTGTTGAATTGCCCTGCCTCGAGTTGTCCCAGGGCGAGATGGCCAGGGTGAGTGGGATGTGGTAAGTTGTCCTACACTATGGTGGAGATGCCTTTGATTACTGGTTATTGCCTGTATTAGTCTCTGTGGTTTTCTTGGCAAGTTTTCAGAAGTGATTTGCCATTGCCTCCTTCCCAACACAGACAATATGGCTGATCCAGGTCATCCATCTGGTTTCATGCCTAAAAATTCATGGTCTCCCAGGTTCTAATTCTATCAAATAATTTTATTACATTTTACAAAGTGTACATATTGTTGGAAAAAATATCCATCTGGTTCAGTTCCAAGCTGGGAGAAAGACACTGGAAACATTGGAAAGATGGTTTAATGATGAAGCAATAACCACATGGGTGATTCTGGTGCAGCTGATCACATGACCACATGAGAGGGGGGTATTTATACCTTCTCTTGGGTTTTGCACTTGATGTGCAAGAACATGTATTCTATTGGCTGTTGCCAGACTCCCATGGAGCCATGTACAAATCCTCAGAGTTGTCTGAGCTAAGTTTGGTTGAAGTTTGGTCTGCTGATACAATGAAGAGGCTGAGGGCTTTGTTAAGACCTTGCCGCGGGTAATTTGCTTATGAATAGAGCTAGCAATCTCTTTATCTCTTAAGTGCTGACATCTGCTGAGGGCTATTAAAAAAGGTGGGGCTACTTTCCAAGAGCATGTTTCTCTATTTCTCATTCAGGGAAATATAATATTCTACCTTTTTAATATTTCTCAGAATATTTCATTCTTCTAGGAGAGGGATGGGTGCTAACTTTCTACAAAGTAAAAAATAACAAACTAATAATCAAGAGAAACAGTAGAGAGAGAAAAAAAGAAAAGGGATAGAAGTGGGAAAAGATAAAAAGAAAAAGAAAGAAAAACACAAATATATACATAGAATGACTTCTATTGTCTTCTTCCAAGGATATAAAGAACATTTAATTTGATTTTTAATTTATGTCCATGTCCATTTTCCCCAAAGGGGGGGGGGGGAGTAAATAAAAATATGTTTTCTCCTTTTTAAGTTTTAAAATAATCAAATTCAAATGTCCTCATCTGATTTTTCTCCATTTCCTGCAAAAAGTCCACAAAGGGCTTCAAATTATATATGAATTTCTTCTGTGATTTTTTTTTCTAATTAACTTGGCTATCTTGAGTGTTATCATCTTTATTAACCATTCGTCTATTGTGAGTATTATAGGGTCTTTTGAATGCTGAGCATATAAAATTCATGCTGCTATTATCATATATAACCCTGAAACACCATATGATTTTTCCAATGTTTTATCCATAAACCCTAGCAAAAAGATTTTGGTGTAAATTGTATATTGTTTTTCTTTTTAAAAAAGATTACACCAGTAATTTCCTTCCAATATTGTCTTAACGCTTTTATAAGTTCACCAAAGGCAATAAAAGCTTCAATCTTAAATTTCCAGCAACACTTTGTGGGGGTGCTTTTTAAATTTTAGCCAGTTTATCTGTGGATGAATGATGTGGCTAATTTTATAGAAATTCTCTTTGAGGTTAATACATTTAAGGTAAATTCCAGTTCCTTTACCCACACATTTTTCCATTGATCAGTTGATATGTTATATTGATTTTTTTTTTGCCCAATTTATCATATTATTTTTAATGAACCTATTTTCCATTTCCAAATTTAACAAAAGTTTTACACAGTTCTGTTTCAAAAATAGTTTTATCATATCCAAAACTCTACAGTTTCTTATCAGCTTTAAATTTCTCTCAGTGTTGCAAATAGGAAAATCATTGACAGTTGAAACCTTCTAATCCCATTTTCTAATCTGATGCCTTAACCATAACACCAAATTGGCTCACTTTTCTGGGGGTAGAAGTTACAAAATATGGAGGCCATAATAGAAAAAATAGAAATATGGTCTTTGTCTCTTTAACATGGTGTGTGCGTAGGTGTAGAGGGTGGTGAGAGAGTTTTAATAGGCCTTCTTAGATGTTCTTTTGGGATGAGCTGATGAGCTGTTGCTCCATATATAGGCTGTAGGTCAGAGTTCCCAAACCTTTCTGGCTTTGAGGATGGGAGGGGGAGGGGACAGATATGGCACATGAATGTGTGCGTCCAGCTCCATTTGTGTGAATGAAGGGGCACGTGCCCTCCGCTTGCTCAAAAAGCACTTGCACACAGACCTGCATGTGCAAGTGGGGATGTGTGCACAGATGTGCGCACTTGCCCATCACCTCCGTGGCCTGGTTTCAAATGGCTCAAGGCCTGGTAATGGACTGCAGCACGGGGGTTGGGGACCCCTGTTGTAAGTGATGGCTACTACTTGAAATTGGGTCCGGAAGCCTATTTGTAGAACAGAACATTACAGAATAGAATTCTTTCTGGCCAAGTGTGATTGGACACACAAGGAATTTGTCTTTGGTGTATATGCCCTTAGTGTACATAAAAAGACAAGATAAATTCATCAAGAATTATAAGGTACAACACTTGATAGTTACACTTGCTTATTTGTACACTTGATAGGGTACAAATAAGCAATCAGGAAACAATATCAATATAAATCGTAAGGATACAAGCAACAAAGTTACATTCCTGCAGTTATAAGTGAGAGGAGATGGGTGATAGGAACAATGAGAAGTAACTACTATATTAATTTTAAAAGAGATGTTTCCCTGCATAAGCATGGTATGCAAGAAGTCTATATATGTAGCACAAATAGATTGAATACCAAGAATATAAATTCATAATGTAGGATTTGTTATTTGTCTGAAAAGCCATTTTGTTCTAGATGCAAAGAATCTGGCCATTAAATGAAATTTCATTTAACTATTACTGGCTGCTTAAACTACTCTGCTATCCATAAGGAGTAAGTTACTTGTTCCTGTCCTTAGCAAGTGCAAACGTCTGGGCCACCCACCCAGAAAGGCAGATGGCTTATATGACAGGAAAGAGCAGATGGCTTGAAAGCCACCAATATAATTCTTCTACTGTGACTCAGAGTTGAATGTAAAGTGGTTCCCAAACATTGATGAAAATTAGCAGTGAGGGCTTTACTAATTCCATGAGCTTCCTATACTTTCTTTGACTTTCTGTTATTATCTTAGTAGTATATGTTTCCAGGCATTTGGATTTCTCAGTTTCATGGCTGGAGTGATTACTCAAACATTTACAATATTTGTCCCCTAGACAATCTTATAGTGAAAAGAAATGAACCAAGGTTCTGTACAATATGGCTGATTTTACTATAAACCTAGGTTTTCTGGCTATAGGTCAAAGACTCCTTGAATTTCATATTTTCTGGTTTTGTAGTTGATAATAGTGGTTAGGTTCGGAGCATTGTACTTCTGTGCTGAATAAGGATTTAGAAAGGCAGTAGAGGTGCTGGTTTAGGAAGAGAACTTCCTTATTATCAGTTTCCACAGACACATATCTAACTAAAGCAACTTGTAAGGTTATTGTCTTATGGTGAGCTTTGATTCTATTTAGAGTGTAAGGACGGTTTACAATGGATTCTTAAAGATTTGTTTCAGATGGATTTCTTTTTCCAAGCTACCTCATTGAAACGATCTGTTTAGCAAGGTGAACTTCTGAAGAAAAAAGGAAATAAAAAACATGCTTTTCTCCCCCCAACAAATTATCATATATCTGTTTTTAAAAATTGTTTCATAAACAATCAGCTTTCTGGTCATATTTCTTTTCCTAACAAGGCTATAAATAAATGCAGAACAAGGAAACTATTATGTGAGGAAGCACATTAAGAAGACAGATCAAAAGTGTGCCTATGGTAATGCCTTGGTAAGGCCAAACTTGGAATACTGCATTCAGTTTTGGTCACCACGATGTAGAAAAGATGTGGAGATTCTAGAAAGAGTGCAGAGAAGAGCATCAAAGGTGATTAGGGGACTAGAGACTAAAACATATGAAGAACGGTTGCAGGAACTGGGTTATGTCTAGTTTAATGAAAAGAAGAACTAGGGGAGACATGATAGCAGTGTTCCAATATCTCAGGGATTGCCACAAAGAACCAGGAGTCAAACTATTCTCCAAGGCACCTGAGGGTAGAACAAGGAGCAATGGATGGAAACTAATCAAGGAGAGAAGCAACTTAGAACTGAGGAGAAATTTCCTGACAGTTAGAACAATTAATCAGTGGAACAACCTGCCTCCAGAAGTTGTGAATGCCCCAACACTGGAAGTCTTTAAGAAGATGTTGGATAGCCATTTGTCTGAAACGGTATAGGGTTTCCTGCCTAGGCAGGGGATTGGACTAGAAGACCTCCAAGGTCCCTTCCAACTCTGCTATTGTATTGTATTGTATTGTATTGTATCTATGTGCAGACATGCAGCATCAAATTAAATAGAATTTTAAAAAAAGAATTCTAACCACCTGGCAACATGGATCTTATTATCACCTTGCATGATTTAAGAGTTCAGTCTAGATTATAAGTGAGCACTGATATGAACTAATGGAGAGGATGTCAAAGAAGGACCACCAGATCTGGAACTGGGCAAATCCAGACAACCAAAGAAATATTTATTCCTGCCATCTTCTGGGAGTTTGTGTTTTCCCTGGCCTAAATCTGGTAGTTCTTGGTCAAAGCTCTTGGTCATAGGGTCCAAATGTGACCCCTCTTTTCTAACGCATTCCTTAACTATTATTTATATTCAGAAAACTCTGCAGAATCATAAGACAGACCCTAAGGATTTCAGCACCATTCCTTAATCATTACAATTATTCCAGTTTGCTGAGTCCCTCCTCTGGGATTGGCCAATAGAGATCAGTAGAAGCAAGCAATTTGGTTTCAGGAAAGCTTGTGGGCTCATATAATTACAACTCCAGGGAAGTGAAATTATAAATAAAGCTATTATGCAGCCAAACTAGAGTTGACGGGCAGAAGAACCTTAATTGTGCATATTTTTATTTACTAAAAACACAACAACTCATGGGAGACTGCAAAAACAGAAAAATAGAATGTGTGGCTGGGGCAGGGTAAGAAGTTAATTCTTCTCCAGCCATTTTTTTTCTATGGATTTAGCTTGCTTTTCCATCAGA